CGCTGCCAGACGTTTACAAAGCGAGAATACGAGGCCGAAAATATCATTCGCTCAATCATTAAGTGGAAGTATACATAATCAGAAATTGGGATAATTACATGCGTCGTCTTATCTCCGTCTTATAATTGAATTAAACACGTTCTAAAAGCCAGTCGTGATTGATCCACACGTTCGTATTGCCGCGCGATAGACCGCGCGGCGACGACTATCGGCAAATAAGAAAGAAAACGTACGCATAAGTAATCTCCGAGCCGGTTTACTTTGTCTCTTTGCGGCGTTTGCCGCACAATGAACCTGCCATGCACGTGCGTGGCTTTTTCGGTCGCGGAGAGGAAGGCAGCATTGAAGTTGAGTCATTTCACGTGAGGTTCCGCAGTTGCGGCTAGGTACTAAGCTAACTCCCAGCAGCTGCGAGGGAGCAGAGTCCGCTCGGGGAGCTCGACTTTGCGAATCACTTTTAGCTTCCTCCTTTGTCTCGCTTTGTCCGAGAAAATATTGCAAGATCAGCGAGCACGTGACTCGATCGCGCGTTTCGCAGACGTGAACAGTAGAAAAACAGTAGTATGTTCTATCCGTATAGTATGACGTGAAGCACGATCGTGCGCAGTAAATGAAGAGCAGCGTGCACCGTAAAACAAAGACCGAGTAGTATCCAGCAAGGTTTACCACTTTGGTGCATTGCATATGCTAATCGCCCCCTTGCACCTTCCAATAATCATTATTTATTATCAATTCGTAATCATTAATCATTAATCATTAATTGATAAATTTAAATGAGTCTCTTTGAACGGGGAAATATATGTATTTCACAACTCGATTACATCTGCTCGATTAGATTTCATCAATTCATGAGCTATTAATTAGGCGAGCAAATTACGTATAATAGGCGAGTAAGAAATAAACAATCGTCTTTGAAATGATTCGTAATAGTGTAATTGTAGAATCGATTTATATCGCGGAATATACATATCATATAATAATATAACAGCGAAAAGAAGATATCGGCGTGGATTTCGCTTTGTCGTACTGTGCGGTTTCGTTATTCTCATTAGAAGGACTTGCAACGACAGAAATTCCTTTATCCGAATCAAATGTGTCGATAAGATAACGCCGCGAGTGTTACGCCATCATGCTCGTTGTTGGAACATTTCCATGTCGGTTTCTTTGTATCTGAATCTCGAGCGGACGACAGTTCCAGAATGTATCCGAGATAAAAGCGCTCGTTTAGAAATCTTCGTTCATGAAAGCACTCTTGAACAAACATACGACATTAACACTCACACACACATTCATACAGAGAGAGTTTCAGATACAAAAAAAATGTGGTATTCGTGTATATTCGCTAATAGAATATAATTAAGACCATTTTCCAGTCGCTCTATAGAAAACAAAAATTATAAAAAAAAATCCAGACAGTAGGTTCAATCATGAAAATATCATGCGATAATTGTTCGAGCAGGGTTTCGTATCGCGTAAATTGCGAGATGGATCGAAAGTTTTCCGAACACAAAGAACGGAGAGCTTTTGCTATCGGCGAGTGCGATCGCAATAATTCGCCGATTTCAATGTTTCCGGCGAGCGCGCGCGCTCGAGTCGGGAGCACAAAGTTTTCCCACTGAAATTTTAACGCAACACGCCACGCTTGTGTGTTTCGCAAATACGCTCGCGCTCGCGCTCGCGCTCTCTATTTTTGCAGCTGACTCCCTCGGCGGGAGTTCGCGTGTTTGCGATTGTGCTGTTGCACGGCGATGTGCGTACGATGTACGCCAAACGGCAATGACATTCCGTAGCGTCGTCATTTTTCCGATCGGCCGGCGTTTCAGGCTAAGTGCAGCGGCTAAGACGAGACCTTGATTACAAGCAGAAGCTAGCTCAAGGATGACGGCTGCCTGTCTATTCGAATTTCATCATGGTGCGAAGCTAAGCGGGTGAATGTCAGCCCTCTGTGAGCTTCGTTACATGCCCGTAACGAGATGTATGTATCTCTCTTTGTCGCATAATGCTGCTCGCCGCCGCTGCTTAGGTAGCCTTTATTTTTAGGTGGCTCGTTTCGTATCGCCGCGGCCTGCAAGCGAGCGCGCGGAATGTCGAGGGGAAAGCCGAAACTATCGCGCCAAAGAATCCAAAAGGTATATCGATACGTTCATCTGATCTCCCTGTTAACGAGGTCTTGAGTCTCGGCGGTACCTCGGCGATCGCTTCGGCGATGCACAATTGCGCATCTTTTTCCGCAGGAGGTGTCCTAGGGGAACAAGAATAACAGGACGCTTATGATTTATGGTTGTTTCCTTTTGAGGAAAAATACACAGATGCAGATTTTTATCAAGAAAAAAACTGATTAGCGAAAAAACCGATTTCCTGTCGATCAGCAACCATTCTCTTCTCACAAATAACTCCTGAAGAATCGGTCGGGTCTACTTCACTATGGTTAACTATGCGGTCAGAACGGTTCTTTTTGCTCAAAGATAAAGATAGCTATCTTTCAGAAGCCGTCTCTCGTTAGTGCTCTCCAGAATCGTACGAGACCTTGAACAGGTTGACAACCCGCGCTAGACGTTCTCCTCGACCTATCGTTTTCTTCTCTACCTTAATACTCTCAGGTGGCACCTGTGGCCGAGAGAGCCCATGATACGAGCACGAATACCTGTAGGAAGCTTTCGCGCGCTCGCGGTTACGGGAGACGGCTATCACGCCCTGTTTACACGCTTCAATTACTAAGCACAATATGTAGATGACGGCTCGTTATCAACAGCTGGCTGAATCTTTCCGGCGAATTTGAGAATCGCGATTACGCCGAAATGCACGACGCACGCACCTGCCGCGTGTGGCGCGCGACCGTGATGTGTCCAATTAAAGTGTATTATATCGTATCATATGCGCGATATTAAACAAAGCATCGCGCGACACGTGCATTTCTGCATCAGGTGTCTTTCACTTACGTCGAGAATATGGAAGGAAGTATCGGTAACTATGGTACGAACAGTGCGTGTGAAAAATAGTAAGATGAAATCCGAGATATCTTATGTGCGTGTTATTGGTTAATACTTTCGGTAACTTGATTGACGCGTTAGGCGTCCCGCTCCCTTTAACTTCTCGGCTTTTTATCTTTTTTATCCAGTGGCCATTTCATCAGGGTTACCTGGCGTGTCCCGAGGCGTTTTAGAGTCGTTCGCAGGTTTCCGCCACCCTGACGTCTAAGCGGCAGGTTAGCGGCGAATATTCGACATATCAGATCGATGAGTCACGCGTCTTGTTCGATGTGTTCCGGCTACCCCATTCGCGTCGCCAGCGCCCACGCGACCAGTCGTGTGACTCATCCGCACAATTCGCGGGAACGCGGGCCGCGTTGGGGATTTCGCTCGAGATTTTCGTTCAGTGACGTTCCAGTTTTACCGTTAATTAAAAATTCGAAGATAGATTGCGCTCGATCCGTTCGAGTCGTTCGGCTCGTCGTTGGACTGCGAATCTTTCACAATTTCTCGTCGAGTATAATGAACTTGGTGCAAATCGCTGCTTTTCCAATCGAAGACGTCCGAATAACGTGGAATACGCTAATAACTGGTCAGGTGGACATTGCAGATTCATCTAGGTAATTAAAAGCTAGTAATTAAAAGTAAAGGAATCATACACGATGCTCAGTCGTTGATAAATATAATATCACCGGTTAACGTTACGATGAAATGCCTCGCGTATCATATATTGATTGGTATCTAACTCGAGACAAAACCAACGCGCCGATAAACATCGAACAACTCTGTTCGATAAACATTGGACAAACACGCGGTGATATTATTTTGAGCGCACTCGTGCGTTGCGCTGGTTTAAAAAAGAAAACGCCGACGCAATTGTCGACTGGCGAGAACAAATCGCGATGCTCACGTGTGTACCCTCTTAACGCGTCCTTCGTAGGAATGCCGAGAGTACGATTATTTCGCGAGGTGACGCAAGTCTGATAACTATTGCAAATGCAGATTTGAGATCTCGACAGCTCATGCAGATATAAATCAAATCGGATAAAATATTAAATAAGACACAGCTCATCGTTCTCCCCCGTACAGAGTCCCTTTCCGCGAGGGAAAATTCACACGTTTTCATTTTCCTTAACTCTCATCTATTTCCAGTGAGAATGTACTTTTCGTAATTCTCAGAAAAATTCAGAAAGGCAGCAGATCTCGGAGCAAATATCGTAGGAGATGATTTGCAAAGTAATGAAGCGCGCAATGTGAGATAACAAAAATTCCCCGAATTTTCGGGCGTCCGAAAGAATGCAAAACGTTCGGTCACCGTTATATCGCGCAAACTCTGATGGGCAGCCCGTTCCACTTTTAGCTATCTTAGCTGACAAGCGAGAAAGTTAAAAATATGTTGTGATAGCTGGAGTACTATTTATAATATTTATCCTCAGAAGGTTGACGCGAGTTCCTCTTTTATAACCAACGAAGCGGCAATTTTACGTAAACACCTCTAAAGGAAATTTCACATCGAATTCGAATTATTCGAACGAGCACATCTTTTTAACCCTTTAACCCTTTAACTACGGTCGAGATAACTCGAATAAAATGATAAACTCGAAAAAAATGGCGGCCTTGCTACGATCGAGTTTACCCGATTTGGACTTTCAATGTGTGTGGTATTTTTAAAATTTAAAAATGTAAATTTGTGAAAATCTGGATCATCAGCAAATTATAAAATATTTTATAATTGTAAAAATAACTCAGCAAAGAGCGTCATACTGGTCATTTGATATATCAGCAGTTAAAGGGTTAATAAGCAAAATAAAGCAATGTCTGCTTGCAAAGATCAATGACTTGATTGATTTGCAGGTCACTTTAACTCTCTCATAGAGAATCATAAACATTGAGATGATTAAAACATCTGGTCGGGGCATAATGAATCCAGAGACTGACTCAATTATATTTCTGTTCTAATTATAGGTGTCGGGTATGTTGATAGCACGGGGACTTTCCTGATATCGTCAGCAATACCCCCGTTATCGAGCACTCATTGGCACGGCACTGGCACGACTGTCGGCTGCCTCGCAACGATTGGCTAGCCGGGAATAGCCCATGACGTCAGACGCGCTCGCGAGACCTCGACTCTCTCCGTAGTTCGAACGGTTGCCGAACGCGCACGAGGTATTCCCTCGCGCGGTATGAGTCATCGGGCGCAGTTTCACACAGTTTCGAGCAAAGGGATCTGCGATTCGTGCGCGCCGCCTTCTAGTTCTACGTACGATCATTGTGACCCCCCGGAACAATCTCTGCACTCGTCTTTGTCTCTCATCCCTGGCTGTGTCTGGGTTTACCTCGCGGAGGACTATCGAGCCCGGAGCCAAGACAGGTTATAACGCGGCTTTTGCTTCGACACACGACCACACGAGACAAACGGAACACGGCAGCATGAAGCTGGACGTCTCTGATGTGCTCTACGACAGCTCCAGCGTGTCCAGCGACAGCGGCACGTCGCAGAGCTCCCGTGTCAGCCATGATTTTCTCTCCAGCATCGCGAACCCGGCCATGCTGTCCAACAACGTAAGTACCAGCCAAGAAACAGCGCAGTCGCATTTCCTTTTTCCGTCGCGCCGCCCGAGGGGACGAGATATCGCACCTTGCTCCTCCGTAGTCGTTGCGTCTGGTGTATTCGAGAAACGAATATACTATTTGCGATTACGTCACACTGCGAATTGCGACAATCGGCGACTCATCGCGGATTGCGTTACGTAACGCACGTTTAGCGCGACAATAATGTGTTAATGTCCATGCGGTTATCCATGGTTACTGCAAGTGGCGAGCTGCCTCGTGGCAGACCGCCTCGTGTCTCGAGGAACGAATAAATCCGACGGGAGAACGCGATTGTTCTCCCTTAATTCTAGCGATTTGCAGCAGGCATGTACAGTGTAAAAAAGACAAGAAAGTGTAGAAAAAGACAAACGTAATGGGGTAGAGATTCTAATTTTGCTTCAGAAGAAGAGTATCATTTAAAACATCGGATAGACTGTACATAGTCATTTACATTCATGAGATTCGTAAAAATATACTCGTAAAATTGATATAATATACTTGGAAAATTGATGTGTCAAATCGACATGTACGTTTCTATTCTTTCTTTAATGTTACTATACTAAAAAATATACCAATACAAAGCTTGGGCGCGCGGGAAAAATTCAAGAGTCATTCGTCGGCGAATTGTTGGACTTCCATTGTGTGCATTAGGAATTTGTGTAGGAGCACGTAGATGGGCTGATGGGCGAGATGTCACGCAAAGTATAGCAAATAAATTCCTGCAGTGCAGTATGTTATCAATTCATGCTACCGTTTTCTAACACTCTACATAGATGCTCCGTTCTAGTTACGGAGCGTACAGAGAATGCATTGCAGCGCTTTCTTATCTCATTGGCAGACATGTAAAAGGCAATTTAATATCAAAACGAGACGCTCAAGCAGACACGTAGCGGTTAGATACAGTCATCGATAATTATGCTATTTTGCCAGTGCACTGAAGTCCACCAAGTCACCAAGTCTCAGTGAGACAAAACATTGGAGATATCGCAATCCCATATTGTGTGTCCGATTAATAAATCGAGTCGTCGTTGAGGTTCCGTGAAGAAATTTGAGCTCAGAATTCAAGCAATCGATCGAAACAGGTAGAGCGATAAAAAATTATCAATGATACCGATAATACGCGTTCTCCGAACACGCATTATGTTGTTCTCATTCGAGATACTATTATTGAGATTGAAAAGAAACAATAATGCGCGTCGAGCGCAGAGTTGATCGCGCGACATTAATTTTTCCGTAAATTCATCGTAAGGCGACTTTTAATAATTGCCCGGTCGCACATGCATACAATGTTTATCGGAATCGCTTAAAGAGTTACGTGGCCTCGCCACTTATATATCTATATTATGACGCATATCAATCGAGCTTCTGGAAAATGCACGCCACTTCGTGGCAACGTAAACTCCTAGGCGAAGTAGCGATATGCTAGTGCTGTTTGTCGTGTACCGCCCGCGATGACTCATTTTTTACCGTATAAAATATGCACGGTGCACGCTCCGTGGATCGATCGCTCTCATCGTACGGTTGTGTAGACAATTGAATATATGATCAATGATTAACATTTGTTACGTAATAAAAATACGGTGACACGCGTAGCCGATTGATCGTTGCAATTTTACGTCAGCGGATTCGATTGCTTATTCTCGGAGATCTCGGTTTCTCCATTATTTTTAAAGCCATTTAGACGACAGTCCGCGTAAAAATGATCGAATCGCAAATATGATCGTGTCGCATCGATAATACAATCCGCAAAGGAACAAATCATGCGCCTTGAGACAGGGCACTTGTCACAGCCGTGATGCGCCGGGGCACTTTGTTGAAGAGGAGCTCCTTTATTCGCGCATATCAGAAGCGGCGCGCTGCTAAATTTACAAAGCGCGTGCCGTCATCGCTATAAACTGAGCCGCTCGAGTTCGAAGTATGAAAAACACGATTTTCACTTACTGCGAATGACTCGAGCGAGAATATCATCCGCGTTATCGCCGATGATTTACGATGCAAATAACGTGGCAGCCGATCGCGCTCGCGTCACACTTGTCACGATTACCCGCGACACTCCTTATTGTCCGGATTCGTTTTATTGCTAGACAACACAATGACCAGAGTCTGCAGTTTGCGGGGATTCGATTCTTCAAAAACCAAGTCGGGATTACTCGGGTTGAAAGAAATATTGGTATTTTGCGACGGTACGGACACGTCGCGGACACAATCGCGAGCACGCTTTTTCAGCTATTAATAAAGACGAGCAACAATGCTTCTCGGTGCATTGTTACTTGTAACGCGGTGCATAACCAAAGCACGTATTTTAATAGGGCATGTTCTCCGATCCGTGCACAGCTCGCGGATAAACCAAACGCCTCCGCGTGCATAGATAAAAAGTAACAACTTTCATTCCGGTTCTGAATAGGTGTCCATTTAAGGTGCATGCCACACGCGCAGACGCGTGCCGCCAATAAAACTTGGAGTCACTACGGAACGATCCAATCGGGCGTTATCGTCCATACCGCATCCATTCACCGATCCGCAGAGAGATCAATAATCTCTAATCTCGCGTCGGGTGTGTGTTTGCGCGCTCACTCGGCCGAGGCTTCGCGCGAACTTTAAAACACGGATCGTTGTTAAGCGTTAACAGGCTGCTCCTTTCGCGCCTCATCTCGCGAATCATCGGCTCGCGGTTTATAAATGACTCGTCATCGACGCGTCGGTCCGACGATTAATCTCGCCGCCGCGCGAGCGAACGTGCGCGGCTTTGATCTTGACGCGAGCGAATTGTTTGCGTTTCTCGATCGTCTGGAACGTGCGAACGACCGAATCCTTTAAAAGCGTCATCGAGTACATTTAGTTGTTTAAACACGAACGCGTAGCGAACTCGATACGTTTGTAGCAACATTTCTATTCGGACACGTGGGTAGATTATCGTCTATTACGACTTATATTACTTATTCATACGCGCGAAGCCGAATATTTTTATGTCTTTTCTTGAGAAATATTTTATGAAGAACTACAGTCTACTGCAAAGTTTTCGTATATTTAACGCGAAGGATAGTTACAATTTAGTTTCAAATTACACTTCCGCGAAATTGAAGATGCGATCGTATCAAGCAGAGAACCGATTGTTAACTCTATGCATTTCTCCTTTCTGTCTTTTCCTCTTCTCTCTTTGTCCGCGGTTATTAACATATCTGTTATGTCGTAATAATCGCAATTCTACGTTTTACATAATTGCAATTGTATCGTTGTACCGCTGTGAACGTATACTCATTTAATAATAATAATATCCGAGTTTTCATTCGCATTGTAGCTTTATTCGTCGGCGTGACACGTATTTATAGATCCAGACAGGAAGGAGAAAATTCTCTTCGTCGCGAGGGACGATATCTCTGCGGCATCGGTTGGGGGTTGATGTTAGCCAGTCTTCCCTTTTGTACAGGGTGTCCCTCAGCCAACAGCAAATACCGTTATTTCTCGTGAAATACGGAATTGAGATTTATCAGCACAAATGTCCAAGCTCTTTCTATAGCTGTAAACCGACAAAAGCTGGACATTTTCGTGAATTGAAGTACAGACGTATAAATAAATAAAACATCACTCGTTGCACGAGATTATCGAGGAGCAAAGTTTACTTCGGAGGAATTTTATCTGCGCTTTTGTTATCGTTGTGTCGATGACTCGGAATCGAGAAGTTGCTAAGAACGGTGGATATCCTTCGGCGTTTTTCGAAGACGTGGGAAGAATCCTACTACTCAACGGGAGACAATTCCGCGCGTTTCTCTAATTCTGTCACACCGTGTATACTCCCTGCGTGTAAACAGGACGACGATGGTATTGATCTAGCATTTCGCTCGGCGTGGCTTCGGGACTGCCTCCAACAGCTGTTTTACAAAGAGCCGCCGCCGTGACGGCTCGTCCATTTAAAAACACGCGTGCACAGCGAGCACTCACGCAAGTACGCACGCACGCACGCACGCACGCACGCACGCACGTACACGCGTTTGACGCGCGACACGAATCACACGGGAGTGCTACGCAATAACGCTCACGCCAGATAGCAACTCCCGAGCCAGCTGTTGTCACCTAATTATCTCTCCTTCCATTAATGGTAGGGTTCGTACGGAGAAATCGGCCGATAAAATGCAAATAATATCTATACCGGTTAACGAAAATGCATCTGGCTGTTTAGACCCCCGGGTTAGGTTAGGGGCGTAGTATCCGCGTGCTGCAGCTGATAGATCGTAAAACGACGAGTATCATTAATAGAGCTATTAATGTCTCTCACAATGACTGATGTTTAATATATCCGTTATTGTCTGTTAATTGTTTTTATATAACAGACATTGTTATCTAATGTTTTGAGTAGGGAATTACCTATTGCATAAATGACTTCAAAAGTACATAATCATAATCATCATCTCTATATACAGGGTGCTAAATTTCAAACGTAACAGGCAAAAAGTCTCGAAAACTATGAAAGATATTAAAAAAAGCTAAAACACGTGTTCCATGATTTCGAAGGGGAGAAAGAATGACATTATCAGTTTTTTATTTAGAGGGCATTTTCAAGGTCAGTTGAAGGTCAACTTAATTTTTTAAAATAGAAAGCTCAATTTTTCTATCATATCTCCCTTTTCTATCAATTAATTTTAACAACTTTTGTCTGAAACATTTTTTTATTTGTCTAATATTTTTTTTAAATATTTAAGGAAAACTTGGTAACTTTTTCAACATTTAACTTACGATATCTCGCTAACTATTCGTCGAAAGAAAAAATAGTATTAGACTTTTTTACTTTATTTACCATCAAGAATATATTACTATAATAGTGCCTTAACTTCTGTTAATTTAATAATTTTGAAATTTCCAAAGGTCGATAAGTGACCTTGAAAATGCCCTCCAAATAAAAAACTGATAACGCCATTCTCTTTCCCCTTCAAAATCATGGAACACGTGTTTTAGCTTTTTTTTAAATATCTATC